TCCGCCAAATAACTGTAGCAAAACAGATTAATAATGGATACATAAAGGATAGATATCGGGATGATAAAGGGATACCGGTATGTATTCTTTATATATTTATTGAACCTGTGACAGATCTTTCTAATCTGAATGTACTATCTCCTAGTCTTCAAGTTAATACAAACCCAGTATCAAATTATTACCTGGAAAACTGAAAAAAGAAAAATGTTAAATCTGCTAATATTACTTTTATACAATCACAATATTAGAATTCTATATTACTGAAACCCAATAGTTAACACAGACCTTTCTAATCTGAACGTGCTACTCCTAATCATCTAAAATTGTCTTCTGCTTAAAGTAGATTCCAATGTTAGAATTCTCTGTCACCGAATTCAAAGTATAACACAGATCTTTCTAATCTGAATATACTACCTCCTAGTTTTCAAGTTAATACAAACCCAGTATCAAAGTATTACCTGGAAAACTAAAAAAAGAAAATTGTTAAATCCGCTAATATTACTTTCATACAATCATAATATCAGAATTCTATATTACTGAAACCCAATAGTATAACACAGACCTTTCTAATCCGAACGTGCTACTTCTAGTCGTCTGAAATTGTCTTCTGCTCGAAGTAGATATTCCAATGTTAGAATTCTCTGTCACTGAATTCAAAGTATAACACAGATCTTTCTAATCCGAATGTACTACTTCCTAGTTTTAAAGTTAATATGAACCCATAATCAAAGTATTATCTGGAAAACTGAAAAAAGAAAATTGTTAAATCTGCTAATATTACTTTCATACAATCACAATATCAGAATTCTATATTACCAAAACCTAATAGTATAACACAGACCTTTCTAATCCGAACGTGCTACTTCTAGTCATCTGAAATTGTCTTCTGCTCGAAGTAGATATTTCAATATTAGAATTCTCTGTCACCAAATTCAAAGTATAACACAGATTTTTCTAATCTGAATATACTACCTTCTAGTCTTCAAGTTAATACGAACCTACCAGTATCAAAGTATTACCTGGAAAACTGAAAAAAAAAAATGTTAAATCCGCTAATATTACTTTCATACAATCACAATATCAGAATTCTATATTACTGAAACCCAATAGTATAACACAGACCTTTCTAATCTGAACATGCTACTTCTAGTCATCTGAAATTGTCTTCTGCTTGAAGTAGATATTCCAATGTTAGAATTCTTTGTTACCGAATTTAAAGTATAACACAGATCTTTCTAATCCGAATGTACTACCTTCTAGTTGTCTGAGATCGTCTAATTTCTCAAAGTAATAGTAAACCTATTGTCTTAATAACGATATTCAAAACATTAGAAGTATGTTACTGATGCATACAATCTAAATAGTATACATAGATCTTTCTAATCCGAACATGCTACCTTCTAATCTGAAATTGTCTAAATGTCGAAGTAAAGGAATCTGTCGCCTTAATAATAAGGTCTATAAGTTTAAATAGCTATTTTGTAAAAATTTATAAAATTGTAAATTGGAATCTACGTAGTATATATTAACGCTACTATATATATAATAAATATAATAAATATTTAACACTATATGTATAATAAATATTTAAAGTTATAATAAATATTTAATGCTAATAAAAGTTATGTAAAACAATTTATTAGATTAAGATTGTGCCGTATTACCATATTACTTTAAAAGTCAGATCATCACATGTATTTGACTAAAAAAAAAAGTTTGATTTTGCCGAGCACTAGCAATAATTGTAATAATTAAGAGTTAAATATGATTCAACACACATAATTACATATCAATTATTATGAAATCTGACATTATTATACGTAATCCTGTATTAGATTAAAATTGCAGAGTAATGAAACTTCAAAAGGTGACCAGTGGCTAATGCCCAAATACAAATTATCATTTAACAAATCAGCTTGTCTGAAAACAATTGTAGGTCATAATAACACTTACAAAGTCGATTGAACTAAAGTTGACAAAAATATGAACTATTATATTGGAAAAAGGTAGGCGAAAAATATAATTTTTTATTGATTAAGTATATAATTGATATATTTACAAATATCAATATAGTTGACCTTTTTTTGTATAATTATTAGGCTCTTCGCCTACATGATAAAGAGAATAATTCTATATTATTCTATTCAATACAACATAATAAATTTAAACACTAGAGATTGTAATTTCATTATAGCAGTTGTTGAACAATTTAAAATAAAGCCTAGAATAGCTTCAAGGTATACAATAATTTGTTGATCAAATTTTTAATATTTCATCGAATAGAGGGTGTGGTGATATAGCAAAGTGGTAAAGTTGTCATCCCCCAAGTAGCAAGTCTAGGGTTCGAATTCTACCGGTGACGAAAATTTGAAAACTACTTCTTGTATATCTCTTCTGGATATATTACTTAATCTGTAGAGGCATCATATACTGTAACCGAAAGGGCATGGACCAGGGGTACTGCTCCTGGGAGTACTGCAGTGTAACAAGATCTATGGTAGAGCGTTCATTTGGGAAAGACCTGGATGAAGGAATGCAAACCAGTGCATATCGGCGCAAACACAAGATAAGCCTCTATAGTAGACCTGATATAGAAGTGGTACAAATATCAAGACCTCCAGACTAACCAGATTAGAAAAAACTACTTGCAAATCCTGAGTATGGTGTTCAATTCGGAAAAGGATGAAAAATAGAAGGTTGGGCCTCTTGAAAAATAGTTCAAAGTAAAGATTGAAGGAATACAAACCGGTTTAGTCGGTGTAAACACAAGATAAATCTATATAAGGGTTAGGATAGACATATAAAGTAGAATTATATAGTTTAAATCATTAACTATATATAGCAATATGTACTTCAACAAAAACAGTCCGAAACACAAACACAAACACTAGTTTTCTACATGTCTAAGATTCGAGGATAAGATGTTAAAACTTGGATAACCACGTTGGGATGGTCCTCAAAATAATCAGCCATCCCTGAGAATATTTTCTAATGCCTATAGCAAACCACCTCGACTTCATACCAATATCAGTCATTGAATATTTAATTACAAGGCCACCTCTTGTGAACAATGGCTCAAGTTCTCAGAGCTCACTACACAACTATTGGTTCGAAGTCATGTCCCAACTACCATAGATACTAATGAAAGTATTGATACAACATGGCACAAAATCCAGTATAGCATCACACATGCAGCAATTAAAACAATCCCTAATAAAGTCTCTCACAAACGAAGCTACAATCATAAATATAGTCCACAATGTAC